AAATTCCAACAATAAAATAAGCCAACATTATTTTAATCATTTAAATCCAGCCGTTCACATGAACTCAATGTAATTTCATGCAGCATTGTTGCCTCAACTACCTCACCAGCTCTTTAGCTCCAAAAACCATCAGTTCAAGTGCAGCGAGAGACATGGAAAGTCCGATTTCCTTCTGTATACTAGAGCCTCCTGCTTGGATTTTAGTCAGCAGGTAAAATTAGATAAATTGGATGAAAAAAATAACAAAGATGAGTTGATGATTTTGTTTTTAAACTAAAATTGATTAAAAACAAATCTTTGAGAAAAATATGCAATGCCAGGTGAATAAAGACAAACCAAGGAGCTAGTGTGCCTTTGCAGCGTGTTTTACAGTGAACATCTCTGTTTGTATGGAGTTCATATACACTTAAACAACTAACAATCAACATATATACATTTTAACAGGATCCATGTAATACTTTATTCTACATGTGGCATCAGGTTCTCTTGTGCTGAGGAACAGGATTAAAGACATACTGATCTTCAACATATAAGGACTTTGGCTGCAGTGATGGCGTCACTTCATGTCACTCTGGTCCACCGCGCTGTGGCAAAGAAATGATATAGAATACAAATAAACACAAATACCAGCCAAAATATATACTTAAATACTCAAAACTTTTAGATTCTACTTTCAGTTTCTATAGCTACTTATGCACCAGCAACAAGTTACAGTAAGTTTTCCTAAGTTCTCAATCAGTCCATACACTTAACCTTTGTACTTTTGAATCCTACTGCTACAAGTTTATGATCAGTCAAAGGTGGGTCATATACTGTTGCCAACTTTGCTTGACATTTGACATTTTTCCATCTCTTTTGTTATTCCACTCTGCTCAATTTTAAAGAACCAAGTAGTTCTGTGTAAAAACTCTGGGTACAGTTAAGATAGCCTCACCTGGATGTAATCCATCTCATCTGCTGTTAACGGTCTCCTGCGGTACCTTGCAGGAAGTAGCTGAATAGAGGCCAGTGTGTCTGGCGTGCCTGGGATTGGTTTTAAAGGTGCATGCGGTCTTGATAACTGAGGCGATACTGCAGCTGAAGTGGGAGCATTATGTTGAGGAAGGTTTACTGCTAATGTTTTCAATGCCTCCTGGGCTGGAGGACGAAAAGAAAAAGAGTAACGTAATGAAATAATCACCAGGGAAGGCATTGTTAACAATTACATTTGTGATAAATGTGAACCTAAAAGAACACATTCATTCAGCTGGGAAAAGGCTCACCATTAGGTCTGGGCAGGCCTTGTCTGTTGGGGAATTTGATCAGGGGAGTATGAGGCCGTATTGCCTGAGAAAACACAAAATCAAACAGCAGTCAGTTAAAGGGTAGGCATCCTGACATGACAACAAATGGACAGTAGTTTTTTTTGTCTCCCACGTGCTAAAACAGAGTGAATAAGCTTTAAAACAAACACAGCTGCTAGAAAAATATGATGAACACCACTAGGGTGAATTAAAATTTTTATTTATGTATGGTATGACCTGTGACTTTTGATAGGAATATACCACAAAACATACAACAGAGCAAACATTATACAAAATACAAGTGCATCTAACACAGTGGTTCCCAAACGTTTTTTGCTGGGCCCCCCTTTGTTTTACAAGAAAAATGTTTGCGCCCCCCGCACAAACACATCCTCCAACCACACACACCCATATTTTGTTTTCAAACTCCATTGCGGTTTATTTCACACCTCAATCAATTAGTAAACAAATAGGCAAATACAAGAAATCTGCAATAAATTACAGGTAGTAATAAAATAATCTCCAAACTCTTTTACGCTACGTCCACACCTACAATGGTATTTTTGAAAATGCAGCTGTTTCTATGCGTTTAGACCTATTCGTCCACATGTAAACGGCGTTTCGAATCACCGAAAATCTCCGCCTCTGCCTATGGTGTGATTATTTTACGTGTCGTTGTTTTTTTCCTGTGAAATAATATTCAACATTGCTATCAATACATTTCTCAAAAAATTCCTCTCTGTGCAAAATGGGTTCAAAAACATAAACAACTTTGGGATACTGTTAGTCCGTGATTTGAACCAGGGAAACAAATCGTGGCAGGATCGCTCTAACTTTACTGTATAAAGAGCTAATATCTCCAAAATGTCAGGAGTAGTTATTTATTCCAAGAAGTGTTTGTGAACTAAAAATCAAGAATGTGGGATACTGTTTGTCCGTGATTTGAAGAGCCCAGCACGTGCTCCCAACGCAAGGGAAACTAATTCTGTCGCAGAGACCTACCTCGAAACTTGTGCCTGTGAAACCAAAGGGAAGACATGCTTCACCATATTTCCTAGTCTTTGTCTTGGAATGAAGTTGGTTTGGAAACATATTTGGTGATGCTTCATCTCCTGCTTTGCATTTGTGTGGGAGCCCCGTCAAAAACCTGTCAATTATGCTAGCAGTGTCCAAGCGTTCTCTTTTTCTTTTCATTTTTCGGCCTAACTGCAGCTAAAATGCAGTAATTCTGATCCGCATTAGTTATGAAAGAACAGACAAGCAGTCATCACAAACGTACTGTTACAAACATTTATTCGGTACAAATAGCATAAATTTAGTGGCTAAATGCAAATTAAATAATTGTAAAGACTATTTCTGTTTTCCTGACATCACAGACCGCTCATATCCTCCAGTAATTGAAAAACGATTAAAAATAGTCTATTAGTAGGAAATAAGCACAGCTGGTACAGTTCCTCAATACTCTGCTGGGCTACTGTGGTACAAAGATCTGTCTTTAACCGACATATAGGCCTCCCTGTGCACCGTTTTATGCTATACTCAGCCATAGCAAGACTGACAACTAAAACAACTAATATTACACCTATCTTAAGTTTTAATTAATTGATTAAAAGGCCCCTATCACAACGTGACTAAACGATATTGATGTGTCCTGTGCGGTTCATGAACAAGGACACTAACAAGGGTATGACGGGTCTTTGCCACCTCAAGAGGCCGCAAGATATAAAGTAGTTTACTGCTCGGAACAGCGGGGAAAGCATCGTTTTACTTTATAATCTCTAAATCAGGAGGCAACACAAACAAACCCAGAGAAATTAACATTTAAGTAGTTAACGTTACCTGAACAACTCGAGCGACGGGAGCTGCCATTTTGGAGCTGACTTTACTCCCCATGACGACCTCTCGGGTTTACTTCCGGTTTGAAGCTGCAGAAAGAAAGAAAAACACGCAAAAACACCACATGATGGCGCTATCGACGGCGAGCCCGTAAGACAGAAAGGGTTCAGCGAATGACATTATAACAACGGTGCAGGAGGTAATGTGAAAGTCATAGTAGACAAATAGCAATACATGTTTGTGGGAAGAGTGTTTAATTTTTTAGGTAAGATTTGGTCGTTAACATACATTTTGAGTGGAAGGTTTAAGTGCATTTGCGATAAATGCACTGTTATCATGCTACACCTTACCTCTAGCTGCGTCTTTAACCCTCTGTCTATGATAGCAGGTGGCCGGTAGATGTGTTGTCAGCGACTGTCCTGTTAGGTCAGGCCATGTTACAGTCTTCGTTAGCCGTCTCCTGTAAAAAAAAAACATGAAAAACTGTATCACTAAAAACCTCCAGCCCGCTCTAAAGTAAAATTATCCGATCTCTGATAAGGCCCAGAACACCATTACTGTTGTCAAAGCGACAAAATTGATTGAATATTGTCGTATGACAAGGGAAATGTCAACACAAGGCTCCTGTTAGGTAACGGAAAAAATATCTATCTTTAATTTCACACTCCCTTGAAGAAAACGGATAACCTCGTCACGTGGGCTGTGCTCGCTCAATCACAAGCGAGATAAGGAACAGAGCTCTTTTATTTGTGAAAATATGTCACCAGGAGCAATATCGCTTTTTCCTTCGTGCCGCGTTGCACATACTTTAGTATTTGTAGTATAATATCTATATAAAAGCCAGATTACACAGCAATTAGGTTATTAATATTGCTGTTCCTTAATAGTTGGGGCTCATAAGAGAGGAAAACCCAGCACATATTGGGTATGTGACTTTTTTTTCCTCTCTTCTCATATATGTCTCAGCAGTTCTCTTAGTAAAACGTATTAACATTTTTCATTATAGGCCTTCTGGAAAACAATGTGCAAATGCTGTTAAAACCACAGGCATCTGGTTTAGAATGCAGACTTTCTGATGATGGGAAAACATAAATAATAGCTTGTAATGGGGTAAATAGACAAATTCATGTTGATTAAATCTCAGTAGATTGTTGATATGTTTCTTCTTTTTCTTTTGACTGCAACCTTTAGGGGTCACAACAGCAGATTATCTCACTCCATATCACCCTATCCCCAGCATTCTCCTCCGTTGCGCTTACCCTCTGCATAACATCCTTCATTATAGTCAGAAATGCATGTTTTCTCTATGGGCTGCCTCTTTTCCTCTTGCCTGGCAGCTCCATATTCAACATCCTTTTTCCATGTCTGTATATATATATATATATATATGAAGAAAATAACACTGTCAGATCCTATTTTCCAGTTAAGCTTTGTCAAATTAATTAATGGGAAAGATGAGAACAGTTTAATGATGGGTAATAAAAACCATGTCCAATTCTTGAAACTGTGTGTGAGACTAGGAAGTTTCCAATCCTTTCTGGTATGTTCTAAAGTCATCTTGTGCTTACTGTAGACATATACTCAGGTGTTATGTTGGTAAACATTAACTATGCTTTCAGTAACAGGCCTACAGTTAATCAGAGAGTTCAACTGAGTTCACTGTTTATTCTCATTGCAGGAATAAACCATAGATAGCATAAATCTCACTAATTTTAGCCTTATTATTTATTAACAGGTCTTATAGCATTGAACAATGACTCTATTATAACACTTTTAACTCTGCTTTGCAGATTATTTGTGGATGCATAGACACAAGTAGTAGACACAGAATAAATGTGCACACCGCCCATCATCAGAAAGAAACTGAGAAGAAACAAACAATTTGTGTTTTATCTTTTTTATTAGATATTAAACAAAGTAGTCCATGGTCGGAGAAACCAAACTGGTCACTTTTACTGGGTTTACTGGGTCAGCTCCCACTTTTGAGATGCTGTGGCCCCAATTTTACAGTCTAAAGATACACATAACAGTGCTAATGTCACGACAACTGACACTATGTTTGTTAGATGAAGCACTGTATATAGATACTATGGACTGCTGCACATCAGTAGCTCTGTACGCAGCTGTTCCGTTTATGCCGGCTGCTGAGTCTGAAACAGACTGACTCAGTGGGTTTTTGATTTGTCGAACAGCTGTTCGAGTTCTTCTTTAGTGGTTGCCTCTTTCTGCTGCATCAGATCAGCATGGCCCTTGGTAACACCCCAAGAATCAGGGACAGACATGGAGGGACACTGGGGACGACCGGAGGCTGGCTTCAGGTTCTCCCAGTAATCCCGTCGGGCTCTAAAAGTCAACAGACATAAAAAAAACAAGAGTGATTACTGGTAGTAAACAGCGAATATGTCATATTTCACAAAGTACTTTTAAGTATTAGAATTAATAGTTGCTTCTGTTCTGACCTGGCTCTGACCCAAGGCTTGGTGTGCATTTCCAGACCAGCACCCCAGGAGCCATGTTTCTCTGATGCACTTGGAAGGAGGCCTCTCTCAGGTGCCAGTTCCTCTGCTATAGCCCTAATGTGATAAGCCTCAAAGCCACAGCAGCCACCAATGAAGCGAATGCCAGCATTGTAAGCTTCTCTGGCATACTTGTGCATGTCCCAGCGAGTCAGAATCCTGGGCTCCAGGCCTGAAAGAGAAAAAAAAGTTTTTTTATGCGCATTTAAATTACAGTTTTGTAGTTTGTGGTGAAAGCTTGCTGTTCTGTGTTGGCTGGCTGAATGCAGTGTAGCATATTCACCAGCAGAGGGCATATATAAGGACAGTGCGTATCCAGAACAGTTGGAATGGCAGATTTATAATTCAAGACTTTATCTTGTTACCGAAGGGGAACTCTGGCAGGTCGATAAATCCCTGGCAGTTGCAGTCAGGAGTGTGGTATGCCAGCGGCTGAACCATGTAGTGAGCCTTCAGACCAGCCTTCACCACTCCCTCCTTCATCTGCTTCACGGTCTCCACACAGGTCATGGGGTCAAAGTGACAGTTGACTCCCACAATCTGGGCACCTGTAGAACAAAATACACCACATGCAGTAACATGAACTGTGTGTGAGAGTGTAAGAAAATGCATGGCTGACACCTAATCAACTGTGGTTTTCAGTTGTGGGTATAAGGTCTTTGAATGTATTTGTGTTTAGTGGGAACATTTTTGTGCATGTTACTGAATAAAATAACTATCGGCCACTGTTTTGGCCTGTACAGGCTCATCCCAGAAAAAAAAGGAAATCCTAACAGAAGAAAACCAAGTACAGGTATAATATGCCATTTTTATTCCTTATAAATTAGTTACACTATGGTGGCACAGATGCTGAAGTTTTGTTCATTTTTACTGTCCAATAAATTGCTGTCGGGCCAATAGTCACTCACTCTTGTCGTAGAAATACACCAAATGACCTCACATGAATGTAAAGTTATATAAACCTCAGTTGATAAGAAGTCTTGAACTTTTTAGTGTCTGATAAGGCTCACAGGGAGACAGTCTGTAATTCTTTTCTGCTGAAACAACATAAAAATTGACAAAGATAACTTGACTCACCAGCCTTCACCAGCCTGACTGCACACTCTCCGGGTGAGACACCGTGCATGTCCCCCTTTGGTCCAATACACAGAGAAGCAGCCACAGGCTTCCCTGTCTCCTTCATCACCTCCACAGCCCACACGGCCTCTTCAACATGCTCAAAGTACTAAAGGACAAAAGCATTGAAGCTCAAACAAAACTTCTCAACAAGTAAGAAACACTCAAAACTGGTTCAATGGCAGTTTTACACCTTTGGAATCCTCCAGAAAAAGTTTTTAAAAAGTGCCAAAGCATTCGGTGTAGCTACCTCAGCAATCAGGAAGTCCACATTTTTCTTGATGAACACATCCAACTGTTTTCTGAAGATGGCCTTCACATCTGCCTTGCTCTTGCAGCTCAGGTAAGATGGAGTTTGGGACACTCCTCCAGCAACAAGAGCATCACCCTCATTGGCAACCTCACGGGCTAAATCACAGGCAGCCTCATTGATCTGAGCTCCCTGTAGAATGAAGCAAAAAAAACAAAACAAAAACAACTAATAATCAAAGAGACTCTTCAAATACACATTTAAAATATTATGTTTTGATAAAGAATTAAACTTGCTGTAATTTCCTTTTTAACTTACAGTCAGTTTGAGGTTGTTGCCTCTGTTCTCAAGTTTGTCATCACTGGCGTAGAATGTAAAGGTCTGCATAACGTTGGACCCGGCTCTCAGGAACTCCCTGTGCAGCTGTCGCACTGAAAATCATCAAGAGGTTGCATCATAGGACAAACGCTGTGCCAAAGCAATCTAAAATGTAACATACACTGCCAGGTATTTACAGGGAGACCCAGCAATGGATAATGGAAATCCCATTTTAAGATGTAACGGAGTGGCAGTTTTGGTACAGCAGTATGTTCTTACCTGCATCAGGGTACTGTACAGCAGCTTCGGGGGTCCATGGTCCGGCCTTCACATACCCCCTCTTCTCCAGAGCAAACACAAATCCTCCATCACCAATCACCACCTCACCAGCATTGAGACGTTCAAGGATGCCCTGTGGAAACAGAGGGATCCATAGACAAGCTTAACCTGTGCTCAGTGGATCATTTTGCAAGTATCACTGTGGAGCCAGTAAAGCCAAAGAAACTGCAAACTGTATATTTTAAAGAAACTTGTAATCGATATCAGCTCATACACAGTTAAATCAATCGTCTGTGCCTTGTGGATTGCAGATTCCTATATCCTGTACCACATCTGTCTTCCCACGCTGGAAGTTTGTTTTTAAAGGTTTGTTCCTTTAAAAAGCTCAAAAAAATCCTGTAAGAGTTGCAAAAATCAAAATCAAATAATGTTTTGAAGTAAGTCTTGTTATTTTTAATCTACAGGAAAAAGTCAAAACCTAGGGTAATATCAAAGGAGACTGCAAGTGAACTGAGCAAACACATTAAGTGTTCCTAATATAAGATGAATGCTTAATGAAGAAAATGTTTTTTATAATCCACATTTTATGAAATCTTATTTTTAAATGGCAAAAAATCCAAACTATCTCATTAATTATATGCTACTTTGCATAAATCCCTGCTACAGATTGAATAAACACCTAATTGTGTGTTTTGCACACATCTTTAGTCTAGCAATAGAAGCAAAATCGGCTAAAATATTAAAACTGACCAGTGGATAATATAAATATAAACATGCTTGCAGTGTGACACTCTAAGATTTTTTTTAAAGCTACCATTAATCCTAATACAAATTGATGTTATTAGGCCTGTATGCCTAATAACATCAAGAAGGTTCAGTGGTCTGAGAAATGACCTGATGTTCTACACAGAATACACACCACTCAAAAAGACTACCGTAAACATGCAGTATGATACCCCAGCCTCACAACCTTTCACCCACATTTAACTTACAGCATGAGATGGGAGCAGAAATCTCAGACAGAAATACGAACCCCACCATGGATCATTATGATTGCTATTAGAATTTCACAAAACTAACTTCTCACAGCATAACCCCACCTCTGTACAAAAAAGTCTGCACATACCTTTTTTGCTGGTGCCATAATCTCACAGCTGTGTGGACCCCTGACTGCTCAGACCTCGAGATGCTGAAGTGACAGTAGAGTGGGGCAGAGGGCCAGATTAAATCTCTCTGAAGAAGGGGAGTGTTCTAAGTAAGAGCTGCTCTGATTGGCAAGGGAAAGGTTATGCAACTCTTTGAATGAGAGTATTGTGAATGTGCGATACTAGTTTGGTCCGGATTAGATGGTTCTTAGTGTTGTTGTTGGATTCCCTCCCAGTTTTTGGCCTTTTGTTTTCAACCTGATAGCAGTCAGGCATTAAAAGAAAAACAAAAAAACAGTCAAACACTAGATCACTTCACATATGCCTGCATGGGTGAAATTTGTAACAGACATTTTTGAGTAGTTTGATTTGTTGCAGCAGTCCAAGCACATGCTTCACAAAAACAACACGAAGCCATAAAGTGAAGTAAAAAACTCAGGTTTATTGTTTTGGGTTTTACAGTTTAACACTCTACAGTCGGAGCATTGCTGTTACAAGTGCTTTCTATCGTCTAACTGAACTGGGAAAGACCTCACACATTCCCCCCCCCCTGTTGTTGACCGACTGGAGGGAAAGGTGCAATGATTGTGACTTTGTGATCTCATCCTCATGCAGTGGACTTGGACTTCTGCACCTCCAGCACATGCTTCATTTCCTGGCTGGTGGTGGCCTCTTTGTGCTGAAGCAGTTCAGCATCACCCTTGGTCACACCCCAGCCTTCTGGTGTGGACATGGATGCGGATTTGGGGCGACCGGATGCAGGCAAGATCTTCTCCCAGTATTCACGACGGGACCTAGAAAAAAAAGGGCAGGTTAGGAGACAGACACTAAAGAATTTTATTGCTACAATTGTGTGAAATCGTTTAAAATCTTTCACCTGGCTCTGACCCAAGGTTTGGTGTGCATCTCCAGACCACTACCCCACATTCCATGTTTCTCTGATCCAGCGGGTATCATGCCTCTTTCAGGGGCCAGTTCCTCTGCCAAAGCCCTGATGTGATAGGGCTCAAAACCACAGCAGCCACCAATGAATCGGATGCCAGCCTTGTATGCCTCCCTGG